CGGCCACAAGATCTCCCCTCAGCCATCTCTTGTGAAGGCTGAAGAGATTCAGCTCTCTCAACCTCCCCCACCGTAGGGTCTATCACAAAGGCCACTAATCATGCGAGTAGCCCTCCTCTGGACCCTCTTGAGATTCCCCGTGTCCCTCTTGAAGTGCAGCGTCCAAAACTGGACACAGTACTCCAACTGTGGCCTAACCAGTGCCACATAGAGGGGGAGCATCACCTCCTTTCTTCTATTAGGCATGCACCTGCTAATGCACAACATGGTGCGATTGGCCTTGTTGATGGCCGTGTTATACTGCCGGCTCATGTTCATCTTGGAGTCAGTTATGACTCCAAGATCCCTCTCTGTCTCCGAGGTGCTGAGAAGGACACTCCCTAACCTATAGGTGTGCTGGGGATTCCTCCTTCCCAGGTGGAGTACCTTACATTTATCTTTATTAAATTGCATCCTATTTCTCTCTGCCCATTGATCCAACCTGTCCAGGTCAGCCTGAATCTGCTCCCTGCCCTCCGGTGTACTAACTTTGCCCCATAACTTGGTATCATCAGCAAACTTGGAGAGGGTGCTCTCCATGCCCTTGTCCAAATCGCTGATGAAGATATTGAATAATATCGGTCCAAGGACCAAACCCTGCGGGACCCCACTGCCCACCTCCCTGCAGGCCGAGAAGGAACCATTCACCACCAATCTCTGGGTGCAGCCCTAAGCCAGTTGGCCACCTACCTGACCGTGTAGGCGTCCACTCCAGAGTCTGCTAGCTTCCCAATGAGGATAGGGGGCGAAACTGTGTCGAAGGCCTTCCTAAAGTCCAGGAAGATGACATCAGCCTCGGCTCCCGCATCCACGCAGTGCATGATCTGGTCATAGAAGGCTACAAGGTTTGTCAGGCATGATCTACCTGTGACAAACCTGTGCTGGTTTCCCCTCAGCATCGTTTCCCCTGCTGGGCCTGCACAAATGTGTTCTTTGATTATTTTCTCTAGTATTTTCCCAGGAATAGAGGTAAGCCTGACTGGTCTAAAGTTACCCGGCTTATCCCTTCTCCCTTTCTTGAAAATGGGCACCACAATGGCCCTTCTCCAGTCCTCAGGGACCTGGCCGGAGCACCATGAGTGCTCAAACAGCTGACTCACTCTGTGGGCCATGGAGTGAGGAAAAAAAGTGGGGGGTAGCACCCTATGTTAAGGAACAGTATACGTCTTCCACCATTAAGGCGGGGGTGGAGGAGGGTAACACCGAGGCATTGTGGGTCAGGATCCAGGGGGGGCCAACATCTGGGCCTGCAGGTCCCTAGTTTCTGCAAAAATACAAGGTAAGTAGGTCCCAATGTATGACTAAGAACACCCCTGCATTATGGTCATAAATGAACAATTCTGAAACAAAGATTAGCAACTTGCTAAGATAGTGGAAGAAGAATAGCACAACAGATTCACTAACGATAATTCTTGCTCATGAAAGTTTGAGTATTTTAACAGCTTGTGATCTGAAGATCATGCTATATGGGTATATAAATAGGACGTTCTTCAAGCATCTATACAAGATGTTCTTCTGTATATAGTCATATAAAGAAAAGTTCTGCATTTTTTAATTTGGAAAAGGTTAGAAGGTGGCTCATTGACATTCTATGAAAATGATGTAAAAATGCCCTTCTCCATTCACAAAAGCAAAATATATTTCAAAAAGGATACAGACATGGCTCTTTAAGTCATTACGCAAGCCTCTACGCACTAGTTCGTATGCTTCCTCCTTTTTCCCTAGACAGTTCAATGTCAGTCCTTTCATTGCCAGGGTTTCTAAAAAACATGGGGCTGAATTAATGCCAAGTTTACTAATAACAACAGCCTTTGTAAAAAATAACTTACAACCACATTTAAGACTCTAGACTTAGGGGAGAGAGAGCAGTCAAGATTTTTTTTGTTTATTTTTTGATACAAATGACTTCTTGAAGCAGTCAGTATCTAAGGGTCAAAAATATCAGGTTTCCAGTCAAGGATTAAGCCATTATTCTATTTCAAAGCATGCAAGACTTCTCACAATGAAAGAGTGGTGTGCCAAGTTTGCTCAAATATTTGTTAATGAAAAAGGTATTTGTTTACAATGAATTTAAAGAAAGACTGGCATAACTGTTCTGACCGACAAAAAGCATGTGTACTGGGAAAAGATAATTAATTCCACAATAAAGAGCTGCAGGTCAAAATAAAGAGTCCCTTTTTCTTTTTCACTTTTCCCCACAAATGAAAAAGTAACAGGACAGGAATTCTAAATGTTGTTCAAACTGACTTAGTCCCTTCCCCAAACCATGCAATGCCTTCTTCAGATGAGAAAAAGAAAAATTATTACCAAATTAATTTTTAATTTCTGTCTTTAAAAGTATGGCATTAAGGTGCAGGATTTCAAGAGACTGCAGCTATTTCTTAACTATTTCCTCTTTAAATTAACTTAGCCATAGGATTTCTGAGAAGATGCTCAGAAAAAGACTTATAAAACTTTAACAGAAAGGCTTCAAATAAATATTACTTCCCGTAAGAAAGATTGAAGTTGGTGTTTGCCTATGAAAGCTTATGGCCTTTCTAACAAGTCAGCCTGTACCAGTGGTTTTCAACCTTTCTGGACTTGAGGCACCCCCCACCAGGTTCAAGGCAGCCCCAATAAATTGGGTGCCACTCAACTGACAAAAGTTATTATAGCGCGTCCATTCTTATAGATGGGTGGGCAGTGGGGTTGAGGGACAGGCCAGACAGGGGAAAGCCTAAGCATGTGCTTATAGCCATTGCACCATGGTTGAGAATCACTGGTTCATAAAGGTGACACCTTGTCCTGTTTTCTGCCTAACTTCAGACAACCACGACTACCTAACTCTCTATTCAGAAGACAGACGGCATTAAAATGCCATTTGAAGACTCACCTCCATGTTCTGCAAACTTTGGGTTAGAAAGAATCTGTTTACAGAACTTCAGCCCATTTCTGTACTGCTTATGTTCGTAACACCTCTGTAAAAGAAAAACAAAGTCAGTAATATCTCATACCAAAAGCAACTGTGGAAAAAAGTTAATTTTGCGCTTATGTGAAGGTAAGGGGCAGAGGGCAAGAGGAGGGGAAAAGAAAGGAAGAAGAGGACAACACAATAACCTAAAGGTATCTTTATAAACCTAAGAACAAGAGTTCTTGGTACTTCCTCACAATGAAAACCTCATTTAATCTAATAGACATACTTAGGTTAACTAGTGCATCTAAACACTTGTTATGGTATACGAATCATAATTTGCATTTGAAGATACCTTTTGTTACACAGTACTGTATCTGCTGAGACACTATGGAAGTCATACAAGTATCAAGAGAGATCCAGCAGGCATCTAATGACATGGATGACCCACGTACTCATCCAGTCCCAAAGCTGTTGGCAAAAAGATGTAAATGCTTACTACTAAATTCAACCATTCTGCTTACCCTACATTTAATACCAGTTTGGGGACAGATCTCTTTTGGGCAAGCATCTTTTGAGAAAGGAGCCATTAAAACCAGTGCACAATTGTCTTGGTGCTGCGAGTCAGCAACAGCTGATTCCCCCCTAAGGTAAGTGGGGTAGAGAGCGCAGCACAGCTGAGGCGGAGCCGGAGGGGAAGCCCTTCGGCGACGCCTTAGCTCGCCCGGCAGGGAGCCGCGCTCCCGAGCCGCGCGCGGGCAGCGCGCGC